CGATCAGGGGGTTGGGGTGCCTTCCCCTGTCATGAACAGAGCAGGGCGGATAGGGAGGTTGTGGCCCCGCCCCCTGTCACATACAGAGCCGCAGGGCGATCAGGGGGTTTGGGCGCTGCCCCCTGTCACGCTGCTCCAGGGGCTAGGAGGCCTCGTGGCTCCGCTGATCCCAGTGCTGGGAGGCCTCGCTGTTCTGCTGATCCTGGTGCTGGGAGGCCTCGCTGCTCTGTTTGACACCGGGGCAGTGAGGCCTCACTGCTCAGCTGATCCCGGTGCTAGGAGGCCTTGCGGCTCTGCTGATCCGGGGCCAGGAGGCCTTGCGGCTCTGCTGATCCCGGTGCTGGGAGGCCTCGTACCTTTTTATTACATAGGAGAGAGGCCTGGTGCCCGGTTGGGGGATGGCAGGGTTGCCCGGAAGGGTGTCCTGGATCAGGGTGGGGGTCCCCACTGGGGTGCCTGGCCAGTCTGGGTGAGGGGCTGAGGGCCGTTTTCAGGCTGGCGGGTGACTGAAGCTCCCAACCTCTTTTTTTTCTTTTTTACTCTGGGATTTATTTACCTTCTATGGCTGTCACTGGAACTGAGAGATGGCTTTAGCTCTGAGGCTCGGCTCCAGCTCTGAGACCTCAGCTGGTGAAAGCAGGTTTCTGGGCTTTGTTTACCTTCTGTATTTGAAACTTTGTTGCGACTCCAGCTCTGAGATCCCGGCTGACTGAAAGCAGGTTTCTGGGTTTTGTTTAGCTTCTATATTTGCAACATAGTTTCTTAGAGTGCAAGCTCAGAGGCCAGCAGCGGCAGGTGGGGAACCTTGGCTTCCTTCTTCACTGGAACAAGCAAGCCTCCTGTTCACTTCAAAGGCCTGGCTGCCGGCCGCCATCTTGGTTGGCAGTTAATTTGCATATCTTGCTGATTAGCCAATGGGAAGGGTAGTGAAGTTACGGTTAATTACCATGTTTGTCTATTATTAGATAGGATGCTTTCAAACCTAAGCCTTCACAGGGAACCTGTCTGAATGCTTGATTGCCATCTTATGTATGCCTCTACCTCTGGTAAAACCAATAATCCCATAGTTATTCCTAATAGCAATTTCTTAATCATCCCCAACTTTACTGTTGATTTTACAAAACTTCCTTTTTAAAGCTGCTATGGCAGGAAACAGCACTCTTCAGCATGCTCCTGATTCTATGCAATAAAATTAACATTTCAATAATTTTACACACTATTAAGGGGGAAATAATTAGTTATTAAGAAAGAATTGTTGAGAAATCAGTTGACAGTCTTGTAGGAGCTTTGTGTAGGTAACTGCGTTTCTTTTGATGCTTTTAAGACTCTCCCTTTGTCTTTAACTTTACTTGTGGTGTGGGCTACTCTGGGTTCATCTTGTTTGAGACTCTCTGTGCTGTATGGACTTTTGTGTATTTTTTTTCACCATATTAGGAACACTTTCAGTCATTATTTTTGTTCTCTTTTCCTTCTTGTACTTATATGATGCAGACGTTATACTTGACTAGAGGCCTGGTACATGAAATTCGTGCATGGGTAGGGTCCCTAGGCCTGACCGGCGATCAGGGCTGATATGTGGGGCAACCAGCAGGGCGACTGGGGGGCCCCGCTGGCACCTGCTTTGGCTGACCTGGCACCGCCCACTTGCTGGCCCCACCCCCTGCCGCCACCACCACCTCCCTCTGCAGGGCGACCAGCAGGGCAAATGGAGGGACCTCCCACTGGCACCAGCCTTGGCTGGCCTGGGGCCTGCGGGCAGCTCCTGTGTTAAGTGTCTGCCCCCTGGTGGTCAGTGCGTGTCATAGCAACTGGTTGTTCCACCAGTTGTTCTGCTGTTCAGTCGATTTGCATATTAGGTTTTTATTATATACGATGTTGTCCCAGAGGCCAGAGATCCCCTAAACTATTCTCATAGTTTATTTAAAAAAAATATTTTTATTGATTTCAGAGAGGAAGGGGGAGAGAGAGAGAGGGAGATAGAAACATCAATGCTCAGAGAGAACCATTGATCGGCCGCCTTCTGCACACTCCCCACTGGGGGTTAAGCCCGCAACCCAAGCACATGCCCTTGACTGGAATCAAACCTGGGACCCTTCAGTCTGCAGGCCGAAGCTCTATCCACTGAGCCAAATCAGCTAGGGCTATTCTTATAGTTTAAGATTCCTTTTTTTTTATTGCTCTGCTTTGGTGTTTTCTGCTACATTTTCTTCTATATCATTGATTTAATCCTTTGTTTTATTCAGTCTGCTGTTGATTTCTTCTAGAGCAGCGGTTCTCAACCTGTGGGTCGCGACCCCTTTGGCGGTCGAACGACCGTTTCACAGGGGTCGCCTAAGACCATCCTGCATATCAGATATTTACATTATGATTCATAACAGTAGCAACATTACAGTTATGAAGTAGCAACGAAAATAATTTTATGATTGGGTCACAACATGAGGAACTGTATTTAAAGGGCCAGAAGGTTGAGAACCACTGTTCTAGAGTATTCTTCATTTCAGACTAGCGTATTTCATTTGACTGGTCCTTTTCTGTTTTTTTTAAATTTTATTTTGTGTTTTTTTTTTTCAATTCTTGCTATCTTTCTATTGAAGTACTCACTAAGCTCACTGAACATTTTTATAATCATTTTGAACTCTGTATTTGGTAGATTGCTTGCTCCTATTTAGTTTGTTATTTTTAGGGAGGGGGGTTTTCGCATGTTCTTTCATTTGGGGCATTAAATCTTTGTCTCCCCATTTGGTTGCCTCTCAGCATTTATTTCTGTTTATTAGGTATATCTGCTATGTCTCCCAGTCTTGGTATGGTGGCTTTATATAGTACGTGTTCAGTGGGCTCAATGGTGTAGCTTCCCTGTTCATCCAAGCTAGGTGCTCCAGGAATGTTTCTTGCGTGGGTTATGCTCTCTCTCCTGTTATAGTTCAGTCTTGAATTCTGTTGGCCCAGCAATGGCTGGGGTTGGCCCATAGGTTGACTAAGAACTGACTTTGGCCACAGTGTATGAGCTGCTGTGTGTGGGCTGACCCCAGCTACTGGAATTCACTCCAACAGGGTCTGGTGCCTGCTGTTCTCTTTTTGGGCATGCTGCTTGTGGAGCTAATTGGGTCATGCTATGATGTGGTTTGAAGCCAGATAATGGGTGTGTTCATGCTGGAGCATGTTGAAAGGGACTCCAATGCATCTCAATTTTACACTGCCAGTGATTGGCCCTTGGCTACCTGTTAGATGCTACAAGGCAATCCACATTTTTTTGGCTTCCTTTGCTGAACCTGTGTACTGAGGCTGGCTTTCACCAGTACTGAGCTTGGGGAAGGCCAGCAAGAAGCCCAAGGCACCTCAAGATCCACCTCTACCTGCCTGCTGCTTCTTAGGCTTGGCCACGGAAAGATCCTCTGGTGGTACGTGAGTTGCATGAGGCAGGTTCTGAGTCACAAGGTAAGTGTAAGTGTTGTTTACCGGGTTGATACAGATTTAAACTCTACACCAGTGCTGGGTCTGAGGCCACTCAATAAAAGCCTCAGGCTACACCAAGGCCATCCACTACCAGCCATGGGTCTGTAGATTCTTTTTCACTGGGGTGGGGTCTCAGGGAGTCATCAGGAGCCAGTTGAGTTCATCAGTTGCCGGAAGCCAATTCCAGCATGTCATAATTTCAAGAGTTTCATCAAAAGGTTGATGGAACTTGGGGACTCAACAGGGTTGAGTGACACATGTAGTCACCTGTTGGAATGGCTAAAGGCATTTCCCCCCTGAATAGGATACATTAAATTGATTCTTGGCTGCCAGACAGCTAAAGGGCATCTTAATCTACATGTTATTGCCTCCTACTGGCCAAACACCTGAACAGCCGTAGGCTAATTCCCCCATTCTGACAATGGACTCTGTAGGAAACCCTGACCTTTGAAGTGGATATCTCCACCTCGCCTCAGGACAAATTGTGTTAATAAAAAGCATGGGGTCCTGAGACGAGGAGACCTGAGACCTTAGAACAGGGGTCCTCAAACTTTTTAAACAGGGGGCCAGTTCACTGTCCCTCAAACCGTTGGAGGGCCGGACTATAGTTTTAACAAATTCCTATGCACACTGCACATATCTTATTTTGAAGTAAAAAAACAAAACGGGAACAAATACAATATTTGTATTTGCATGTGGCCCGCGGGCCGTAGTTTGAGGACCCCTGCCTTAGAACTTAGATCTTAGTTTCCTTCAAACTAGGCTCCTCTGACCTCCAAATGCCTTTCAAAATTATGCTTCATCTCTGGACTCTTATTTAATCTATGCACAGCCTTCTCCAGATTGCTGAATCCTTCTAGAATCTAGATGCTGGGACAAGAACCCCGGCAATCAGGCTAAAGCATATTAAAGTTTGGCCATTTGGATAAAGGCCGTATAGAGGAATGTTGACATGGTTGGGGCACTCAGAAAAAATGGCTTTTGTATCAAAGCCACACAATTCAGTCTCTCCCTGTGCATCTCTGACAACCCAAGTCTGCCGGGACCTCCTGGAAAGCCTTCCAAAAAGACCGCAGTGCAAGTCTAGGCTTGTGGCAGCCAGCAGACTTTTCTGCAGGCATGAGCAGGGCAGGGCGAGGCCACAGTGAGCTGGCAGTGTGAGGCTAGTCTAGTGCATCTCTTCACACCCATGCTGTAGAGCAGTGGTTCCCAATGTGTAGTGCCCACAGGGAGGCAATTTTATTTTTAATGTTGGCAATTTGAGAATGAGTTATTAACAGTGAATTTTTTTGCATTTCTTATGATTCTAGGGGCCTCATATACAGTAAATAAATATATATTGTGACATATTTATGCATTTCAGTTCTCTATTATGTTTTGAAACTTTATTTGCTATATTTCTGTATCACTTCATATTATTTTTTAAAACAATTTCTTAGTGATTTCTTCCTCAGTACTTCAACTGTCCTTTCATTCTTATTTTTCTCATTCCTGGATGCCATGTTCTTTGGAAGCTTGTTTAGTCCAAGTTAATGGCCTTTTAGGCTTCCTCCAAGTGAATAGGAGTTCACTTTTTGAATAATAAGAATTGTGTGTCACAGGGGGGCATTAGGATTTTAGAGATGCTTAGGTGGGGCGTGGCCAATAAAAGGTTGGGAGCCACTGCTGTAGGGGTAACATCAGTCAGGAGCACAGGGAAATTGGCACTCGCCCTGAAGCCACTTCACTCAGTCTGTCCTTGTCTTTGAAACCTCCTGAGTCTGCCAGATCTCCTCGAGACCCTGCCAAGGTCTGCAATGCTACAGCCAGCTAATTCCTCCACAGAGCTTGACAGGGTGGGACCACAGAAGTCAGGAAATATGGCTAGTGCATCTCCCCAGGTTAATGCCATATAACGGGTGTGCTTGACTCAGGAAAGATGGTGCCTGTGGGTGGTGTGGGAGAGGGACTCAGCACAGGAACCTTGACAGCTGTCCCTTCAACTCTTTCCCTGAAGCCAAATAACCCAATCTCTTCCTGTATGACTCCACTGTGCTCTGAGGTGCCATTTTCTACTGGAATTGAGAGTGAGTGGCACGAAGAAAATTTTGTGTATTGTCTCTTTCAGAGGGTGCCAGGGTTTTTAGCAGTCTTCCATCCATCTCACCCTGGCAGACTGAATCCTCACTGATGTTCACAGCCAGATGTTACGTGGGTGCCTCTTCCTGGCACTGGTGCTCTGGGCTGGAAAGCCAAGCATGGTGTTGAGACCTTTTCTTTTTAGGGGGTACCTCTCCAGTTGAGATAGTTGAGATGGATTCTCAACTGAAGCACATGAGTTCAGGGCCATCACCTTTCACATTTCTGCCTTTCCTACCAGTCTTGGTGTGACTTCTGTGCATCCTTAGTTATAAGATCTGTTAAACTAGTCTTCAGATGGTTGGCCTGGTTGATTGTTGTATAATCCTCACCCAAGGATATTTTTCTTGGCTTTTAGAGAGAATGGAAGGGAGGGGGAGAGACAGAGAGAAACATCCATGTGAGAGAGACACATCGATTGGCTGCCTCTCACATGTGCCCCGACCAGAGCCAGGATGCACCTGAGGTACGTGCCCTTGACTGGAATGGAACCCAGGATCTTTCATTCTACAAGCCAACGCTTTATCCACTGGAGCCAACCTGGCTAGGGTTGGCCAGCTCCACGTATTCTGATTGGTCGTTGTGGAGCTGTTCTGATTGGTCAGTAAAGGTGCAAAGGAGGCCAAAGCTCTACAGCTCCAATTGGAGGAGGCACCGCTCAGTCCCATTGGTCGAAATAGTATCCCAGGAACTCCTTTATAAGGATCAGCTCCAGGCAGGAGCACAGTGCAGGAGGTGGCCGCCCAGCCTGGGGGCTTTCCCTGAAATGCAGCCCCTCATAAACAGTGGCTGCTAGGCTCTGGTTATGGTTTTGGGCCCAGTCAACCACAAGGAGTCCTTCTTAGCAGGTACATTCTTTCTTGGGGTCAACAGCGGTGTTCATGAATCATAGAGCAGAAGACAAACTCAAATAAAAAAAAAAAGTAAAAAAGTCAGCTCTGTAATGTGAATTAAAACTGTTTTTTGTTTTTTTTTGTTTTATTGGAAGCATCACCTGAAGTAATTTAAAGAGCGGCAAAAACACCCAACAGAAAGCTACTAACAATAAGGTTCACTCAAGAATTTTACAACACTCATTTTCATTCCTTAAAACCATTTTTACCTCCTTTGTCCTAGCAAGGCACAGAAAAACCAATAGCCAGCCCTTAGGTTCTGAAACAGTCCAGACACACACCTGTCCGGTGAAGCAAGTGCTTCTGCTCATCCGACATTCTCAGGGGAAGGGTTGTCTCACCTTTTGGTACTTTTCTTTGTTAATCGCACAGGAGGATTTTGAAAGAGTGGAAGGGAGGGAGGGGAGGAGGGGGGAGAGACAGACGTTGGTGTGAGAGACGGAGGACCGGGTCCCCTTGCCCCCCAACCAGGAACCTGCAACCCAGGCTGGTGCCCCGACCAGGAACCCAACCTGGGACCCTGCGTGTGCAGGCAAAGCTCTAACCACTGAGCAGCTGGCCAGGCACCTTTTATGTACTTTTAAATCTAATTTTGGTTTTTAGTTCACTTTAACTTAATAGTTAAAAATATACCCTCTAAAGACATAGTCATTATTGGGTGGGTAAAATGATCTGCCAGTTTCACATATTCGAAAACAACTTTACATAGTGATTTATATTGTCAAATAAATAAATAATTCAAAGGACAAAGTAATCCCTGTGGATTAAGTTGCTACTGCCAGTATAAAATTAAATTTTATAAAATTCTCCATAAAACTTAAGAAGTCTTCCTTTCCCTGAAATGGAAGCTACCAAAATTTGTGGTTTCAAATAATGCCTAAGATAGTCTGAAATATTATCATTGTTTTCTTTATTGTGATTTTAAAAAATTTGTTTTTAATCCTCACTAGAGGATATGTCTTTAGAGAAACCCTGTGCGGCTGCCTCCCGCAGGGCTGGGATGGAACCCTCCCTAGGTCTGTGCAGAGGCCGGGCATTCGGCCAAAGCGCATGCAGGCCACCCCCACCCCGAATCCAGGGCGGGCAGAGGCGCTTCCCACAGACGGTCTCTCTCCACACAGACGGTCTCTCTCTCTCACAGACGGTCTC